ACTATTCGTACTCAATTTTTGCCCCCTTAGGGTCTTCTGATCACAACCTTATTTCTATTAAATCAAACTGGGCATGACCATCTCCCCCACCCCCCTCTAAACGTCAACTATGGCAATATCGGAGGGCAAGCTGGCAATCCTTGCGAGAATTCTTCACCGACTTTCCTTGGGATGAATGTTGCTTTTCCACTCGGGATGCCTCAGTATGTGCTGACAGCATTGCTGGGGATATACAGGGTGGTATGAGTGCATTTATCCCATCTTCTACCAAAACTTTCACATTACAATCATGGTTTGATCGCTCCTGCTCTCTTGCTTGCAGGGTGAGAGAGAGGGCATATCGAGCTATGAATCTATCTCCTTCTCCTATTACCCACACCTCTTTCATTACTTCTAGGAATCGTTGTAAGGCTATTCCTCGTAGGGCCAAGCGGAATTTTATTAAAAGAGAGACTGCTGTCCTGACTAATTCTTCCTCTAGTAAATCCTTCTGGTCCTTTGCTAAAAACATCTGTAACAACTTCTGCACGCCTTCTTTTCCTCCCCTCTTCCGTCCCAATAACTCTATAGCCAACTCTCCCCCCTGAGAAAGCCAACCTCTTTGGCACCTTATTCGCCTCTAATTCCACCTTTGACGATTCCCACTCTACCCCTCCTACCCCTGCACCTCCTACTGAACCTATGCACTTTCCTATAATCTCCACTCGCAGGGTTGCCGGTGTGTTATCCAGGTTGGATGTGAGTAAGGCACATGGACCGGACGGAATACCCCCTCGTGTTCTGAAGGAGTGTGCTGAAGCCCTGGCCCCTGTGCTTGCTTGCCTCTTTCGCCTTTGCCTCAAAACCAAAACTTTTCCTTCTTCTTGGAAGCATGCCTTGGTTCAGCCCATCCCGAAGAAGGGTGATCATTCTAATCCCTCTAACTATCGCCCCATTGCCCTAACTTCATCCCACTCTAAGATTTTCGAAACTATCTTGAACTCCCATTTTCTCCGTCACCTTGAACGCCTTTCTCTTTTGTCGGATCACCAGTATGGCTTTCGCCAGGCGAGATCTACTGGTGATCTGCTCTCCTATTGCACCCATCTTTGGTCATCCACTCTTAGGGATTATGGGGAAACTTTTGTCGTGGCCCTCGACATATCCAAAGCATTTGACAGGGTATGGCACAAGTCTTTGCTATCTAAACTTCCCTCTTTTGGTTTCTCTCCCCCACTTTGTTCTCTCATCTCTAGCTTCCTTGAGAAACGATCCATGGCAGTTGTTGTCGAGGGATCGATTTCTCGCTCTTTCTCTACCAATAGTGGCGTCCCACAGGGTTCTGTTCTTTCACCAACTCTCTTTCTTCTTTTTATCAATGATTTACTTCACACTACAACTAATTGTATCCATTCTTACGCCGATGATTCTACTCTTCACTCTTCCTCACATTTTCCCCTTCCTCCTAACTCTCAAACTAGATCAGTTTCTAGAACAGATATCATTACTTCTATCAACGTGGATCTGTGCAGCATCTCTGAATGGGGAGATACAAACTTGGTTAAGTTCAATAGTAACAAAACTCAATATTTACCAATTACACTTTGCAAAGTAGACGATCTCCCACCAATTACATTTCAGGACGCTATCATCCTCCCAAATTCTGAAATAAATATGTTAGGCCTCACCATTTCCTCCAATATGTCTTGGAAATCACACATCCTTAGTATAACTAAAGCTGCCTCCCGAAAGTTGGGAATGCTGTACAGATGCCGCAGCTACTTCACTCCTGAGCAGTTGCTCCAAGTATATAAGGGATTCATTCGTCCTAACTTGGAGTACTGCTCTCATATCTGGGGTGGCTCTTCTTCTGTCCAACTATTAGATAGGGTGGAATCAAAGGCATTTCGTCTCATTAACTCTCCTCCTTTAGTCGACAATCTCTCTCCCCTTTCTCTTCGCCGCAATGTTGCTTCACTCTCTCTCTTTTACAGGTACTTTAACGGGCAATGTTCAGTGGATTTGGCATCCTGTGTACCGCCGGCAAGGCCGTGGGTTCGTAACACACGTCTTGCCCGCGGTGTCCACCATTTCTCTGTGGATGTCGGTCACACGAGAATAACCCGTTATAGTACCTCCTTCTTTCCTCACACAGCCAAACTGTGGAATGCTCTGCCTTCTTCTGTGTTTCCATGCTCTTACAATCTGTCTCACTTTAAAAAGCTGGTTTTCCGGCATCTTCGTGGTGTACATTAATACAGTACAGTATAACCTTTTTTTCTATATTTTCAATTTCTTTCCGTTCTTTTTTTTTCGCCCCCCAGGCTCCGTTGTGGGTCGTTTGACCTGTGCCCGGGTGGGCTAATTCCTGTTAAAAAAAAAATATATATGAAAATTTCAGCTCTTTAGGTCTGTTTTTAAGGGTTTTAGAGACCCCCCCCCACGCAAAAAAAAAACGAGGCTAAATTCATATAATAACAGTTAGCAGTTAGCGTTAGCTTCCGCAATTTTTTTAGATGTTTAGCATTTTAGCGTTAGCGAAGTTAACTTTTTAGTTAGCAAATTAGCAGTTAGCGAAGCTAACTTTTTGCTTAGCTGTGCCCACCACTGTACCTAGCCACCAATAAACTCGCTTTGAAGGCTCTTCTCCTTATGGATAATGCCCCTGGTCATGACCCTGAATTTGCCAGCACTTTGAAGGCTCGATTTGACTTTGTCAAAGTGTTGTTTTTGCCTCCCAACACTACATCAATCATGCAGCTAATGGACCAGAATGTGATCAGCTACTTCAAGAAGTTGTACATGAAGAAAATGTTCAGGAGGTGTCATCAGGCAACTTCCACTGATCCTGAACTAACACTGGCACAGTTCTGGAAGACACAATTTAACATCCTGGAGGCTGTAAAATTGATTGTCTCATCATGGCGAGAAGTCTCCATTAGATCCCTCAATTCTGCATGTAAAGCAGTGTGGCCATCAGCAGTCCATGATTTTGAGGGATTTGTGGAAGAAGCAGAGTTGGACCAGGAGATTGTGTCCATTGGTCAGTCATTGGGCCTCGAAGTGGAGGAGGAGGATGTAGAAGAGCTTGTGATGTCTCATGAGGAGGAACTTTTTCCTGATGACTTGCAGCAACTGGATGAGATGTTAGAGGCTGACAGTGATGAGGAGGAAATGGAAAGTGATGACCATATGTCTACTTCAGACTAAAAAGATGTTTACCACTGGGAGATGTTCAGGAAACTGGCATCAAGGCACCCAGATGTGGAAACAACAGAACCTATTTTGTGTAGTGTTGAAGACACAGTGGTCTCCTTCAAAAATCAGTTAATGATGAGGAGGAGAAATGCCCCACAAACAAAATTTGACAGTTTCTTCTCTAAGAGGCAGCAGGAGAAAGATGCTACCCCTCAGCCTTCCACTTCAAAAAGGAGAGAGGATTTTCCTGCTGGAGAATCTGTCAGCCCAGAGGTTCCTGACATTTTCATGGAAGGTGACTCACCTTCCATGAAGCAGTAAAATGTTTCTCCTCCACCCCCACTTCCTTCTCTTCTCCCTTCTCCTCCTCCACCTCCCACTTCAAATTCACATCAGCATCATCCAGGAGCCTTCTACATACAAGCCTCAAAGTAAGTGTACTTTCCTGCATTATTTTTTTACTTTATGTAATTTTCGGTGAGCTGGAACCAATTACCCAAAATCCCATTATAACAATGGTTTTGGTTAACGAAATTTTCAGTCAACGAACAACTTTCTGGAATGAATTGTGTTCGTTAATCGAGGGAACCACTGAACACCAATCCCCCACCCAATAATGGGTGACCTGACATTGCATCAGAAGGTCAGTAATATGAAACCAGTAACCCCACACCCTATCTCCACCCGACAATGCGTCAGGTCAGGTCAGTTACATGAGACCCACTAATCCTTAGTATAACTAAAGCTGCCTCCCGAAAGTTGGGAATGCTGTACAGATGCCGCAGCTACTTCACTCCTGAGCAGTTGCTCCAAGTATATAAGGGATTCATTCGTCCTAACTTGGAGTACTGCTCTCATATCTGGGGTGGCTCTTCTTCTGTCCAACTATTAGATAGGGTGGAATCAAAGGCATTTCGTCTCATTAACTCTCCTCCTTTAGTCGACAATCTCTCTCCCCTTTCTCTTCGCCGCAATGTTGCTTCACTCTCTCTCTTTTACAGGTACTTTAACGGGCAATGTTCAGGGGATTTGGCATCCTGTGTACCGCCGGTAAGGCCGTGGGTTCGTAACACACGTCTTGCCCGCGGTGCCCACCATTTCTCTGTGGATGTCGGTCACACGAGAATAACCCGTTATAGTACCTCCTTCTTTCCTCACACAGCCAAACTGTGGAATGCTCTGCCTTCTTCTGTGTTTCCATGCTCTTACAATCTGTCTCACTTTAAAAAGCTGGTTTTCCGGCATCTTCGTGGTGTAGATTTAATACAGTATAACCTTTTTTTCTATATTTTCAATTTCTTTCCGGTTTTTTTTTCGCCCCCCAGGCTCCGTTGTGGGTCGTTTGACCTGTGCAGGTGGGCTAATTCTGTAAAAAAAAAAAAAAAAATCTCTCACAGCTCCACGGGAGTGAATAATACCAGTCTTTGCTGTAACACACAGCTTCATTCAAGCCTGTTTCACAGAGATATTTAGTTTTTAAATATATTTATTTAACCAAACTTTTAGATAAACTATTCTGGATTATTCAAGTAAAGAAATTGAGTTTCTAACTTAATTAGAACTGCTTTGACAGATTCCAGTAGTCTAGACATTCCCAAGCACCCAGAAACATTCTGGACATGTGGGCTAGTGTCTGTCTGTGCAAGATGTGTAGTTTTGACACTCAAAAACTTTTCACAGTAACCGGAAAAAATCCCCGAGATAAGGAATTTTTCCGGATTTGAGAAAGTCGTCTGGTTACCTGGAAATGTCTCATCCCCAGAAGTGCTCTACACCATTTGTTCCGGCTAATGGGGCTATCACTGTAGAGGTGACCCTTGTACCTGGGGTCCCTGCTGCTACTGTAAGTATAGCTGGGGTCCTGTCACCAGATATATCCATGAGGGGATGAGACGATACCTCTGGAGAGGAGGCATCAGCCTGAGCTGACATCTGTTGGAGTGTCTGGGACTTAGAATTGGGTTCTCAAGTTGGTAAAGGGGTCTTGCTTCGTTCGCAACAGACAGTAGGATAATTCCACCATCGAGACCTTGGCTGGAGGACCATCCACCTCCAGAGACTATGACGACCCTCGATAGCATTTCGGTGAAATTTTAGTAGTACAGTACCAGAATGGAGGGTGGAGGAAAGATGAGGAGTAGCAGATGCGCTCGCCAGATACTAGCTTCTATTTAAAAATTTCGCTAGATTCAACCCTAAAAAAGTTTTAACTGTACACTGTAACTTTAAAACTTAAAGTGGTGGGCATATAAACTGCAATAATGAAAGCACATAAATGGCAATGATCCAAACATAAAAAAAATATAGAATAAAACAAGTTAGTGTTCATAGTGTCGAAGTCTCAGTGACGCTCACCATATCAGCACAGCCCCCAACTGGGACGGCCTCTCTGCCTTCCCTCAGCGCTCAGTGCTGTGGGATGTGTGCAGTATAATAATGGTGGAATATGCCTTTATAACACTCCCAAATATATGTCAATTTCTAAGGATATTATTACTGTATTCTATAAGTAAACTTGAATAAAATCACAAATTTAAAATATCTTTATTACCAGTACATCCTGTGCTGCGATGATTCAAATTACGGTAGATATTATCCAAATGTTTTAAGAGTAAAATATTTAGCTGTGAGGAATAAGATAAAATAATACTGTATATACAGTACTCTACCATTAAATATGAGGAATAAATAAAATGAAAGTAAACATAGAACCAATTACCGTATTAACGGACAAGCTGATCAGCTGATGCGTAAAACAAAGAGTGTTTCTCATAAGGCTGTCGTTAATCGAAGCTTTGTTCTTTAATGGAATTGAAAATCCTTAAGGGAGCTGATTCGTTAACCGAAATTTCGTTAATTGGACCGTTCGTTAATCAAGGGACCACTGTATATACACAATACAGTGAACCCTCACTTTACGCGGTTAATTCAACCCACGGCGGCCCGTGTAAAGTGAACAACATAACATATGGGATTAATTGAAATAGAGACCGGGCCGACCCCCAAACTCCACTTTTTCCCGACACAATACGTAGGTTTTACTAAAAATAACCTCTTAACTTTATGATGGTATTCACCCATACATAATATAGAAGGGAACAGTCAATAAGAGAAGAATAAACTGAAGGTTAGGTTAGAAAAAAACAAGGCTGGGGTTAACACTTACGTTAGTAGAAGAGATGGGTCGGCGTAGGGAAATGGAGGCTGGTTCCGAGGCAGAGGGCAGGCTACTGGCCCTCAGTTGAGTCTTCATCGGTGTCATCCACACTTACTAGTGCCTCCCTGACAAATCCCTCAAAGTCATCATCACTGTCTCTACCTCTGTCACTATCACTGGCTTGGGCTGGCTGTGGTGGGTTGCTGGCGAAGAACTCTGTTATGCTTTGCTGACGGCTGGTGTTTATGTTGTCGTGATAAACCTTGATGTAGGGCTCCATAGTCTGCAACAGCTGGGTAGTGAAGATTTCATACCTGTTTGCGTCAGGGTCGTCGGAAAGGAGGAGCTTGGCTTTCTCGACACACTCGATGGCACCCCTGACATTACTATGGGATAAGCGGTGTTCTTCTTGGGATGACGCACCACCTGCCTCTTCACTAACGTCATCATCATGTACCATCTCGTCGGTAGTCACATCAGGATCCCTTATCACCTCCAGGATGTCGTCGTTGGTGGTCTCGGAGAAGCCTACAGCTGTAACACTCTGTGCAGCTTCTCTGGCAAGGTCCACTGCTACTGCAACAGTCTGAACCTAACCAGTCACAGATTTACTCTGCCTAACGCCCGGAATGCCTTGCAACACATGTCTCCATGCGTGACGAACAGTTGCTACAGACAGCTGATCCCATGCCTCCACCAAGAAGTCCACAGCTTTCTTGACGTTGAATGTTCTCCAGAATTGTTTTAAAAGTACTTCTTGCTCTGCCAACTGTTGATCCTCGTCGTCTTCGCTCTTGCTATCGGTGTTGGTGTCACTCAGGTTACGCAACTCTTCCCTGGTGTTGGTGTAGTCGTTCAGGAGCTTGAATTTTTTAGTAGAGAATGCAGCTTTTAAATTACAGATTAACTCTTGGTCCATGGGCTGTAATATAGACGTAGTGTTGGGAGGAAGGAAGACCACTTTTATGTTGGGGTGACGATCTAACAGTAGGGGCGAGTGTCCTGGTGCGTTGTCCAGCAGCAACAAAATCTTGAATGGCACATTCTGTTGCTCACAGAATTTCTTCACATCGGGAACAAAACAGTCATCAAACCAGGAGAGGGACAGTGTAGAGAACATCCATGCCTTACGTGCGGTCAGCCAGTGGACATTTAGCTTGGTCATGTCCATGCTCTTGTAGGCGTGCGGCTTGCGTGCTGTGTGGATCACCGATAACTTGAGCTTACAGGTACCGGAGGCATTGGTGGTAAACAGGAGGGTGATGCGCTCCTTCTGCAACTTCCGGCCCCGACACTTGCTGGCATTCTTCACAACGAAGGTCTTGGAAGGTAGTTTTTTCCAAAAAAGACCAGATTCGTCCATGTTAAACACCTGTTCGTCGGTGTACTGTCCTTCCTCCATAATCTCACGTAAAAACGGAGGAAATTCACCAGCCGCAACACGGTCAGCACTAGCTTCTTCACCACCAATGTTAATATTGGTGATCTTGTTTCTCTTCTTAAACCTCTGTAACCACCCAGAGGAAGCATTAAAGGGTTTGGGCTCTGTATTCCCATCTTTCGTGACAATGCAGCATACAGTTCACGTGCGTACTCCTTAACTGAGCGCGTGTCCACCGCCATGTTCCGTCGCGCCTGACACACCAAGTAGCTCACAAGTAATTTTTCTGTCTTGAGAAGCACCTGGTTGTGGCAATACTTGATCATAGAAGCACCTGTAGACTTTGTGATGTTCATGTGCTCCTTTATCTTGGCTGCATCCTTCTTAATTGTCCTGATAGTTGATTCGTTAACACCATGCTGGCGCGCGAGATCAACCTGTCTTGTTCCTTTCTCCAACTCTTGTATGATCTTATACTTAATTTCGTAGCTTAAGGAACGTCATGTCTTCTTTGGCTTAGGGCGGCTGGGTCCAGGTAAGGAAAGGTTTCTCTCTGGGGGCGGTGGTCCGGCGGAAGCCATTTTACAGAACAATGGATTCACGTATACACGGTGTGGCCTGGAGGGATGAAACTGCCGCGGCTAGGTCAAGCGTCGCCTTTCCTCCCTCCCTCCTGCAGGTGGACACGTCCCTCGGAGTTCCTGCACCCGAGCTCCTCAGTGTTTACACAACATTCATACTTCCCAAGCTCACCTATGCCTCCCCTACCTGGTCTTCCTCCCTAAATGCCACACAACGTAAACACCTAGAAAAAGTGCAAAAGAGGGCTTGCAAGATAATTCTCTCCCCTTCCTGACCATCACCACTACCTCATCTGCAAATTTGGTAAGAAGCTTCTACACCATCCTCGACACCGGCTCCTACTACCACCTGAGATCCCTAGCCCGAGAATTGCTGTTCGACACCACAACCGCATCCAGCCCATACGTGCACGAACTGATCGCAATAAGAACAGCCCAGTCCCAACCATTGTAAAAATAATCAATAACTTGTAATAAACCAGTGTATTCACTCCCAGTAAATACTACTTCTTGCACTGTCACTATGTTGAAATGCACTGTAGTTTGAGCTTTTCCCCATCTAGTTATTATATATCTTATTTGTATCACTTATGTTACTTGTATATTATTTGTAATTCGTAACCCATTCCCCAAATATGTAACTGTATATTTTCAGCCTTCTGGCTGCCAAGCTCTTTCAATAAACCGTTAATTATTATTATTATTATTATTATTACTTTAAACCAATCACAGCTAGCAGCGGAGGGAGGTAAGGATGCATGGCCCAATTACAGTCCGATACGTCATATGACGTCACTGATAACGCAACAAAGACACACACTGCGCAACCTACTCGCGCCGCTTACACAACACGGCGGATGGCAGGAGAGGGCGGGAGGTTTGGATCCAAAAATGGCGCGACTAAGCTCTCATAAAGGGATGCATGGTAAACATTCGGTTTTGACGTGCGTAAACGATAGGCAGCGTAAGTGGGACCTCGGCGAGGTTTGCATGTACAGGGCAAACACATAATGGGAATATACATTTCTTTGCAAACAGGTAAAAATATTCCCCCCCCCCTTGTCAGCAAATGTTATTTGCGGATTTGGCTATTCGCGGCCATTTTGAGAACCTAACCCCTGCAAAATTTAAGGTCATGCTGAATTTTTTTAAATTTAAGGTGCCCCCATACCAAAGGCACCTTTATGCAGATAAGACACTGTATACCAGCAATAGAACCCACCTGTTTCCGGATCAATAATTGTATTTTCTTCAATAAATACACGGCCTGGTGGAGGTGTGAGTGTGCAAGTTCCTCCTCCTGGTGGTTTGTTGATTTTCAAAACCATGGTGCCCACTCCACCCTCGTTGTCCACTAAACGCGATATAATTTGCTTGATGTGAAACTCCAGTACAGTCGGATGATCAATGAATAGAGTCTTTTGAATAACCACTTTGGGCTTATCATGTCCAATCATATAGCTGGTGCCATCCTGTTCAAGACATAATATCCATTACTATAATTCTAAAGAATCCTATTCTATTATTACTTGAGAAACAATACTCAAGTAAATTCATTTTTGTGCAACAAATTTTTTTTTTAATATGTAAAATCTCAAAACTTTATTGAGGAGAACAGGTAATATTTTCCTTAACTCAAAAATACTGTAGTCTGAATGTGTCTGGTTCTTAGACATTATTTTATCTTGTCATTTTATGAGACGTTGCTGAATAGCTTCCTCTGTACACTTTATCAATTACCATACAGGTACATTTTGTTATAAATGGAAACCAAATAAAATAGTGGGAACTAACATCATAATATTATAATAAA